AATCGAGAAATAAATCTTAATAAGGTCTTAACGATCGATGAGGAATTCGATACACAAACGTTTGCGACATGGCCGCGCTGCCGGCGATTTTATTGCATTCGCGAGCTTGCGCGAGAGAAATCTGTCTCTCGGCGGGGCGAGTGCGCAAGGCAAATTAATTTCCAAGTAGGCGCTAATGCCGCAGACACTCGAAAACGAAAGGCGTGCACGTACGCGAGAGATTGAGAATCAGATGAGCTGGGCTGCGGCGGCGAAAGATGGATGGCAAGGCAGGCAGGCAGGCAGGCAGGCAGGCAGGCCGGCTGGCCGGGGAACGAGAACGAGAAAGGTATAAGGTACAAGGCAGGATAAGAAAACGAGCACTTCAAACGGCGGCGTCTCTGGCGGCGCGCATGCGCTTCGGATGCTACTCTGGATTCCTATAATTGTTCATTTTCGCAAATTCCCGGCTTTTTACCGGTATCGGACCACCGGATCAAGGCAGACCCACTGACACGTGGCCGTTCGCGGAACATCGGGCGCGTGCTTTGTGCCCGCAAACGGCCGCGGCGCCTTTTTGCCCGCGCCACGCTCGCGGCTGCTCCAACGAGAATCCTCGCGCCGCGCGCTATTCCGATCGAGCTCGCGCGCCGCCGTGACTCGCGCAAGATGCCGCAGCTTTGAAAGTCCGACGAGCGGCGCGGACCGCGAACGCGAGCGCCGCTCTGTGGCTCTCCGGCCCGAGAATAAGGGACGAGCTTGGGGGAACGGCCTCGAAGGTCCCGGATTTACCGGCGAAATGTTGAATTTATTAGATCGAGATACGCGTGGGCGTTCCACCTTACCCTCGCTCCGTTACCCGTCTGTGTGCGTGTATAACCGGCTACTCTCTCTCGCTCCTCCAACTCGGTTTTTGTTGGCCCGCCGCTCTATCTTCACATCCGTTCCGCGCGACTGACTCGCCTCTGGGAAACTTCTCGCTCGTCGGAAAGCGTCGCTCGCGGACGAGCCGGTTCGCGCAACGACAGAGCTCGAAACTCGGAAAATCGTCGACGGTGAGCTAACGACGAAAAAGCCCTGCAGGCCCGCCAATAACTCAACTCGCGGCAACGCTAGCGAGACGCAGGATGCATGAGTTTGTAATCATCCGGTAGCTGGACATGCCGCGTACATCGATCGCCGACCACGATAAAAGTGTTATCGATCGGGGGTCCTAGCTGCAGAGCTTGCTCTCTCTCTCTCTCTCTCGCACTGCACTCGGCCCCTCTCGCGCGTTATTTACAGCTTCTTGGACGACTATACGTGCAGCGCGCAAAGAAGGAAGTGCAGATGATTTATATCCTCGGCTACTGCACAGCCATGGAGTCGTTGCGCTGCAGCTCGCTGCTCGCTCGCCTGTGCTCCCTAGGCTGCCACGCGATAATACCAATCATTATCATCGCTTAATAACAGGCATTACTGCCAACATTGAAATAATGCGCGCGTCCCAACGCTACTCCTGCTGACCCATTCCTTCTTCAGCCCATCGCCTTCAGCAGCTCTCTCTCTCTCTTTCTCTCTCCTTTCTCCCTCTCGCACTCACCGTACTGCTGCAGCTCTCCACTCGTTTCCGAGGATTTTCACCGCCACTGCGGCACTATCGTCAATCAATGGTGCACGCCAGCTTTTATAAGACTTCGCCGAGAGCTACGCGCAACTTCCTAGCTCGGCTTTCCCCATAATGCCTTTGCAGAATTTCCCGACGGGCTAATGAGGTACGGCCGAGGAAAAAAGCCAAGGCTTCGCGTGTATCTCTCTCGCTCGCGAAAACGCTTATAAGTCGGTCGCCGAGCGCTCTACTGTCGTCCCAGCCAGTCGCGCGGCTGAATAAAAAATTAACGACTTCGCGAGAGCATTGACTTAGCCAAGCGGGCGACGGAGGGGGTTGGCGAGTGAAAAAAAAATTCAATAAATCGACGAATTAGGAGTGTTCGCAGGCCCATCAGCTGCGCGACGAGGCTGCGAGGCAGCGCACCTGCGGCGTTCGACGCCAAGACAAAGGAGCGAAAGATGCGTGGCCAAACTTTTCAAAATAATTCAACCGACGCTCATATCACGACGAGTGAACCGAAGGGGCAAGGCAGGCGCGGCCTGCAATCAGGGCGACTGCTAGCAGCGCCATAGTGGCTCGCTCGAGTCAATCATAAAGAGGCGAACAACCCTCTCTGGTAGAGCTCCTGTTTACCTCCCACTCACGTACAAGATGAAGGGTGAGCGACAAGCGTCTTCAGGCGAAGGGTCACTAATGCAAGGTTGCCGTCGCGGCGGAATTACAGCGGCGGATCGGTAATCAGACGTTGCGCGCCACCGTATAACTGTAATAACGGTACCGCGTCAGGCGAGTGCGCGATTCACGGACAAGGTCTCTCCGGCGCTCTCGCTCTCTCGTCAATTTGGCTAAACTACCCGGCATTATGCCGCGCAGCTGACTCCTCTGCGCCTGACACACTTCGACGCCGCGCCTCGGACGAGCGAGCAGCGGCAAAGCGAGCAGTCGACCGCGAGGCCGAGTTATCGCCGCCGACCGATAGTCGCGCCAGTGCCGCGAGCGCGCGGAAAACCGGCGTAATCGCCGCCCCCTCGCGCCGTGCCGCCGGAAATTTTCGCCTGGCGCGAGCCGACATGCTAAAAAGATCGCCTTGACCGATATTGACGCTCGCGCTCCAATCGATAAGCCGAGCCTTTGCCGCTTTTCGATTATTTACCGAGTTCCACTGTACGCGAAGGAAATATTTATGAGTCGGGAATTTCTTATCAATTTCGAGAACCGCTACCCATTCCGAGGCGATCATCGGATATATATAGATATACGTGGCCGCGCGGCAAGCCTAACGAAATAATTCGAGCATGCTGGATTCCATCCTCACTCGGCGTTCGACTCATTCGGTTGAAGGACCGCGATGAGCGAGCAGGGCGCAGTGCGGAAGGGTTTTCGGGGGACGAGGAAGCTCATGACTTTTCCACGAATCGCTCGAGTATTGCGTGCGAGCAAAGTAGAGAAAGTTCTCCGGAGAATAATTATAAAGAAAGCGAGAGACAACAGGAGGGTGCAGCCCTCGCGATACCGAAGGGGTGGAAAACCTCGCGGTTTTAAAGTTGGAGAACCGCGTGCCTGTACGATGGGAGGGGCAGCGACACCGTGGAGAGGCACGATACATCCGCCTCGAGAGGGAAAAGATAACGTTGAAAAGTGGATTATCGCAGATAATCGTTAGCGAGCTTAAATAGTGCCGCCTGGCAGCGCTCGACTTTCAGCGAAAATTCGTGAGAAATCGCTCGGAAAGAAAAATTTAACGGCAGTGCGTCGATAAAGTCTCCGGCATTTTCGAAAGTTGATAATGAATAAGAAGAGAGGTGCAGCGCCGCGTGTGCTCTGAACGAGCGAGAAGGAAAATGCCGTCGCCGTGCCATTGTGCCTGACCCACTGGGCGAACGAGCGGTGAAGGGCGCATGGTGTCCGATCGCGTATTTATCGCGCGCGCACTCGCGTACCGCACATAAACAGCCGACGTGCGCGCACACGCTCTCGCGCGTACCTACGTCTGATCGTGTTTCCGATAGCCGAGTGCTACCAGTACACTCTGCTTTGGGCGGCCGGCGCGCATGCGAGATTCTCTCTTGGGCGAGATAACTGTCCGCTGCAATTTTCAATCTGGCTGGCTGGCGCAACGACGACTATGAGCGAAAAATGGCATTAGCGGGCAAAGCTAGCGCGGCGTTTCCCCGATCTCCGAGAAAACTCGCCTGGCGGTCTCTCGACTGCCAGGGAGAAGAAGCTCGAGGCGACCCGCTGCGTCTCTCGCGACTAACGAAGGCAAAGGAGATCTCGCGGTGGAAAAGGGAAGAAAGGAGCTGCCGCCGCGGCCGAAGCGCACCACGCCTCGGGTCTATATGCATATAGGAGCGCTCCGGCTACACCTGCGTACTTCTCGTCTGTCTCCATCGAGAAAGCCTTCAGTGGGGGATATCTTCTCGAGTTGGTTGCGACGGCCGCAGCGCTGTAATTTTTTTTAATTGACAGTCCGAACCCTTAATTACCCGTATGCGCCGTCGCGTTGTGGACAGTGGACACCCCAGTCGTGGGACACGTTCGCTTCAGGGGTCCTAATGAAATTATCTGGTCCGGTAGCCCCTCGAGTGCTGTTGTACGCGCAACAAACTGTGGGCGCTGACCGGATAGCGGCGGCGAGTCGTTGTTGTTTTTCGTTTTTCGTTCGCCGGAGATATCAATCATCTTGATTGGGATGCGCGCAACAATCAGCCGATCCGCAATTTCTAGCGCGTAACCGTCTCTGCGCTCTGCGATTGGGTTTCTAGGATTAAATCGCGCCAGCGAGAAATTAGTATCTTTTCACTTTTAGCGAGGATAATGAAAGGTTCTTTCTACCTGGTCGGTAGCCGTACCGTGACTAAGTACGATAATCGCTGCAATGTTTACGTACTCTGAATAATTTAGCTCTCTCTCTCTCTCTCTCTCTCTCTCTTTCGCTTTCGGGAAAGAGAGAAACACAGCAAATTGGATAATTCATGCGATTCATTTATAGCGCTTTAACCTACATACGAAAAATATATAGAATATTGTATTGATGCATGCGCCTGCGCCTGAAGCTTTCTGTATCGCGCGCGGACCATACAATGGGCGAATAAACAGTTTCCGCGCTGACGTATCACGCAGCTCGCGCCGTAAGGCATTCCGCGCGAACGCAAATCAAGTAGAACGAGGAAGAGCTGCTGCTACTGCTGGCAAAGCACAAAGAACGAGAATTTCTGACGATTGGCGCGCGCGAATTTCCCTTGGTCGTCTACATGCTTCACCCTTGCAATTAGCCACGCGATAATTGACCGACTTTGGTCCATAAATTGTCAAGCGGAGACCCGTCTGACAGACCAGCCGGACCGGACGATTCCAAATTTTATCGTAGGATCACTGGACACTGGGGTAGTAATAATCCGAGGGAGCCGTGATAATGATAACAACTGACCTGTGTCTGCGTGAGCCCGAGGCTCGCCGCGAGTTCGGCACGTTCGGGTAACGCCAGGTACTGCGTCCGCTGGAACCGCCTGTTCAACTGCTGCAGCTGCAAACTGCTGTAAATCGTCCGGGGTTTGCGCATCTTCTTGCCTTTGCCGTTTCTTAGAGACCCACCGCCGCCGCCCCCAAGCTCGTCCACGATGCCGCTCTTGTTGTCCAACGGCGAGAGGTCTGCAATTTTATTTTTTCATCACTTTCAAATGATCGGTTTTTGTCTGATGTACTTGACTAAAAAGCTCAAAGAATTTATCCTTGAGAAACATAGAATCATATAAACCGTTCCGTATCAAATTCCGACGAAACATTGTCGATAATTACTTATGGAATGTAATATCATTACGAAACATTGTATAGAGTTATTTGATTTTTTGTTCAGAAATTCATCTTTAATATGAAGTAATTGTGCTGTTTAATTGGATTTGAAGAAAATGAATTGAAGGACATAATTGAATTTATTCTGCGTATGTATATCAATTGACATGTCATCCCGGCGATGAAATTTTCACGATTGATCGTTTGATTGAAGCTCACAAGAAACGCTAATTGGAGTAGTAAACAAGTCACTTAATCTTCGCCAACACCCCCGCTTGAAAATGCCAACAACTGAGTTTGCACTGGCCAATCAACGCGGCTTAAGCAAACTCCGCTCTAATTGCTGAACTCTAGCACGCTACACATAACACTGGCTGGACGACTTTCACGGTATGAACATCGCGAATAACGTAAAGTACTCGCGCTATCAGTGGCGTCGAAAGAGTTCTTTACCTATGTACGCGAGTCTAATCAGTAAGACAAGTGCACGTGTCACCGACGGTTTCGCAGCTGGCCTGAACCTTATTTCGTCGCGCTTTACTCGAGCATTTCGATACTCCGGAGTGCAAGGAATAACCGCTGGCATTAATCTCCCGCTGAAATCGGACGGGCGCGACAGCGCCACGAAAGGGACCCGACAGCACGTTTTTCGCCCGCATCCACAAATTTTTCACTGGCGGCGACGGCAGGTGCACTCGCGCCGCAGCTTTCCGAATGGGAATGAAAATGCAGTCGCGCACGCACGACGCTTATCTCCGATCTGCGGCGCAGCGAAGAATGAGGCAGACGCGCCGTGGCGGCAGCTAATCCTTACGAAAACAACCATTTGTCTGTCGATCCTGGATTAATTTGTGCCGAGGCACCTGACGTCGACTACTCACTGACTAATGCTGGCTCCCTCGCTTTCCTCTCTCTCTCCCTCGCTTGCTCTTTCTCGTCCTTTTATCTCTCTGTTTCGTGGTCGGCAACGTTCCGACACTTTCAATAGGGCCCACACTTGCTCTCGCACTGCTAATTGGGCCATTAAATCTCGCGCGTTGGGTCCGATTTTTTTTTGATAATGTCCTGAACTATTTTATCTCCATGTTAACGTGATGTAGATCGTGTCTCCCATCATCACTCGTGCATCAAAACATTGCATGTGGTCCGACCACGCTCGCAACAGTGGGGCGCTATGTAGAATATATAACTCGACGCGAATTGTCATAATGTTTTAAGGGTTCACTTTGATGTGGCGACGTGTTACGTCAAGCGCATTATTCGAGAGCACTTTGCAACAAACTTGAATTCGACCGCACGAGGCAACTACAGTCGCGGCAACAAACTAAATTTGCATCGCCGTGTAATCCAAGACAATCTGCGCTGCCGTCGCGTCGCACAGCGAAGGAAAAGTCGGGGAAACAGTCCAGCTAGGCTCGCCGCCGCACGCATTGTCACCCCGCTCGCCCCTCCATCGCCATTTCGTGTCGCGCGCAAACGACCCTATCAAATAGTCATAGCCAGTCATTACTCGAATTTCCTTAAGCTCGCCCCCGCGCGATGACTGCGCTAATGCGTCGGCTGTGCACACCCCGCTGAGTCGTCGCAAGAAACTTTCCTCGCTGCCGTCGCTAAACCGCGCGCCTCGCGCAACTTTCAAGCAACAAAAAAAAAGTTGAAGAAAGCAAGCTTAATGATCGAGGTAGGGTTGCGCGGCGAGCCGATGGCTATTGAACTTGCCTCAGTTAACCGCAAAGCCGGCACTGCCATGACGACGCGCGCGCGCGCAAAACTATGGGTGACATTATTTCGCAACACTTGTCACGCACTCGCTTAAAAATTAATGCAACGGCGCATACATAGGGTCAGAAGTAAAGTTGTTGTGGAATAAGCATGTTGCTAATTTTAAAGTCCAAAGTATTCCCGTCGGTCACGCGCGCAAGACTGAGAGAGAGAGAGAGAGAGAGAGAGAAACCGCGCCCGGCTCACCTTATAATGCATAAACCTCATTTTGCAATTGAAAAATGTCCGCATTCATGAACGAGGGGGGGAAAGGAAAATTGTTAAATTTAAATGAGTATAAAGTCCGCGGCTGTGCCGTTCTGCGTTATTCCGCGCGCGCGCGCGTGTGTGCCGTATAGGGTATATTGCTTGGCAAATTAGCATTCGAATGGAGCTTATGCTCGACGCTGCGTGTTTTCTATAAAATGCACATGTATCGATGAAAAAAATATTAAACGCACCCTTCGCAGAGACCTGCAATTTTTGTTCTATCTTTAAAGGGTCATTTTTTTTCTCACTCAACTTTTAAAAAAAAGATGTACATAATAAATGAGCCAGAGCCGCGTTATTAAATAGTTTTGAAAAAGCGCTGTTTTGGACTTTTCCACGAATAATTTTCGGCGTCATGGAGATTCGATCGAACGCTGCGGACCGACTACCGTTTGCCACCGAATCCCGCAGGTCAAGAGAAAAACACTTGGAGCCGAGAAAGAAAAGTGCGAGCTCCCGCAAGGAAAACTGTAACGCGACAGAAGATCAACCTGTCGAGCAGTTTCGGTACCGTTACCTTCGGGCAGTGGCAATATCTCTTCGCCTCGCACTTTCCCTCGACAGAGAGAGATTCGGAGAAGAATAGACGCTAACTACCTAACTGCCGGCGTATCGGTGCCTCGTGGCGGAGCGCCGAAAATTTACGATCGTCCGTTTTTTTTCCCCCGTCAAGATTTACCGTGCGCACTTGACGACAGCGAAAAGTTGAGCGCGACCTCGCGAAGCCATCTCGGGCATCGCAATTATGCAGCGCTTTATATCGAGGCGGAGCGCGGAGGACGCGGCTGAGCTTCTTTAACAAAGTTAGGTCTTGGCGTGCAGCGTATCGATCTGGAGCCGCGCGGCTCTGCCCGGGCGAGGCGAATGCCGTGGCACCGTCAGACACGCTGTCGTCATGCGAATCGGGCGCCACGCGCTGCCAGAGCAACACGGCTGGCAGGATGTCAAGCCGGTCGGCCGCGCGCACGTCATCGCGGAGGCGGCTGCCCGGAATACGTACAGTTTTGGTACTCGCCGTCCTTGGGCGGCGAGGGGCACTGGGGCGCGTAGGAGCCCAGGTGGTAGGCGCTGTAGGCGTTGTGCTGGTGCATGGGCCCGAACGGATAGGAGCTGAGGGCGCTCCTGGGGCTGGGAAAGCCGGCCTCCGGGCCGTGCTGCTGCTGGCCCGGCTGGCCGGGCTGGTGCACGTGCTGGGAGAACTGGTGGGCGCCGGCGGGCACGTTGTGCGGGTAGGCCGCGGCGGCGCGCAGCCCGCCGGGGTTGTAGATGTTGTTGTGCTGCAGCTCGATGAAGGCGGACTTGCCGGTCTGCGAGACGGGCGTGCTGGAGGCGCTGTCGGGGCCGTTGCCGCCGGGGCCCGGCGTGACCGAGCCCATGCCGTGGTGGCCGGCCAGCTGCTGCTCCAGGTCCGAGGCCGCGCTCTGGGGGGTGGCTTGGTTGGGGGGCCCGTTGCCGGCGGCCGACGGCCCGCTGCCCGCCCCGCCTCCGGCGCCCCCGCCTGACATGCTGTTCGGGGTCGGGGTGCTCGACGGACAGGGGTCGCCCGCCCCGAATGGGCTCCCCAGGTCCGTGAAGTTGAGCGTCGTCGTGGCGCCCCGGAGCTCCACCAAGCGACACGCGACCCGCTAGAGTCGCCGCAGCCTCCTCCTTCTATCGCCGCGCTCGCCTCTCCGATCGCCCGCGAACTCGCTGCTTGCTCCGGCTTCGATGCTCCGGCCGAGGCTTCAGGCGGCGAGGCTCATCGTCATCGACGGCGCGTTACTTGCTGATCACTTTGAGCACGAGCACTTTCTGGAAATACCGTCGCTGAGGGTGTCCCGCGGCAGCCCCGCGCGAGAGAGTCGCTGTGTCACACCTTGTATCACTAGTCACAACGCGCCGGGCGACGTCAGCTGCGGCTCCCGGAGAGGTCGCTCGACGGACAGTTTATCCGCATGGTTTACTCGCACTCGACGGGCTCTTCGCGCACCTGACTCTCGCGAGTCTCGGCTCGGTCGTCGATTAGCTCGATCGACTGGTCGCGCGAGCGATGATCACACTTCAGCGACGAAACTCGCGGCGCGGCGCCGACAATCCATGTTTGCTCTGGACAAAACGACGACGAAATAATGAGCTGCTCTGCGAGCGCGATCGTGCGAGCGGGCGAGCGAGCGACGACACTGACTGCGAGTGCACACCGCGCGGCGTGGACCGGTATAATGATACATAATGAAGGCCCGAGCCTCTCCCGCGGCTTTCGTCCGCCACGCGGCGCCACCGTCGACTCCGCCCACCGAGCGCCTCGCTCTCTCGCCCATTGGCCGACCTCGGGCTGCCCCGCCGCCTCGCCGCTACCGATTGGCCGGGCCAGGGCCATTATGGTGTCCGAGGGGCGCGCCCAGGCAGCTAACCCACTTCTCCCACCGCCGCCGCCGCCGGCCTCAAGCCACTGCCGGTCTGTCAGTGTGTGAGCGAGCACCAGCGAATTTCACAGTGCGCCACCGGCTCATTCCTCGCGCCTTTTCGCTTCTTCTTCTTCTTGTTGTTCTTCTTCTTCTTCTTCCTTCGCTCCCGGTCTGGCTCGCTGCGGGCTTTTCTGCCTGGCCAACTCGCTGGCGAGCTACGCTACCCCCTGTCCTACTACTACCACCACCGCTTCGCGTATCAGCGTCTCGTGCGTGCACACATACACACACACACACACACACACACACACACACACACACAGCTGCAATTCCGATTCCGGAAGCTGATGCTCTGGAAGCGAACCTGTGCTTACGCCCCATGGCAGCTCAGCAGCAGTACCACCTGCGTCTATTGCTTCATTTTTCCTGCTTTTTTCACTTAGCTTTGTTTATCGCGAATACGATGATTTATCCTAATGACAGTTATTACTTCTAGATATCGTTTTTTTAATGGCCCGTTTGTCGCGCGCCCTCGCGCTAATGTTAAATGTAGCTCGTTTTAAATTAAGCTGGCGCTCTTTCAACATGCACGGTCAATCTTAAATTTAAGTGTGGCAGTAGCTTTAATGCACACCTATTATCAGATGGAAACATGGTAATCTATTGGGAATACATTTGTTACTATTAGTCAGAGAGCGTTTTCCTTTTTTTCTCTCTCTCTTCTTTTCATCTCTCTGTGACCACAATTTTTTCTTACTGTAGCGTGATGAATAATTTCCGTAACCGCAGGTCCCGCGCGGGCAAATATACCATTTTGCAGTTTCATCTATAGCCTCGTAAACGTGCGTAATACTGCTATTTTTGCGTTTGTCCACTCACGGCTGAAAGTTTTTGTCGACGCGGTGAGGCGCAAGCTAGACGCGCGGGTCCTTACGCAAGAAAGTTGCACTGGGCCGAGAAGTGTTTACCTAACTCGCTCTAATCACAGCCCGGAGGCTGCCGAGCTCTGCCGCGGCAGACAGTTGGTGGTGGCTGCTTCTATGCGTGTCAACGATTCGAATGGGCCATTTGACCCCCGCGCAACTTGTTGACTCTGCGAGCGTCTTATCTGATTCGGCAGCAGCAGCAGCGCAACCAGTAGCTGATTCCTATCGTCATCCCTCCCGGATTAACCAACTGACATGGGGACAGCTAGTAAAATGTTTCATTTCTACCTGCCCGGATCACGAAGCGCCTCAAGCTCCTCGCTACTGCCACTTGCCTCGCTGGCAGCGATTCTGCGGCAACTTATGTAAATATAATTGAGAGTCAAGTAAGAAAAAGTTGGATTCGAGATCTCTGAGAAATCCTCGGGCCGGCGAAAAGTACAGAGTGCACGATCGCGCGCGCACAGCAGTCGCGCGCAGCTGCAACCTTGGGCTCGCGCAGAGCATGTGCAGCCGTGGTTGTATGGGTGTTGTGCGCGCGAGCTGCTCATGAGCAGCACTTTTCTCTCGCTCGCCTGTGTGTGCTCCTTATATTTTTTTTCGCGGCGCGTGGGAACAGGAAGCCGCGAGCGAGTCGCTGAACTTGGCACGCGAAAAATATAGCAGCTCGCGTGCTTTGCAAGTCCGCGGGCGCGTACGCCGCGCGTACAGCATCACGCGTACGCAGCAGGCGCATACGATATCATAGACAACGAGATGAAAAAGATGCGACAACAACTGAAAAGATCTCGACGACTGAAACCAGTTCCCCTGCGTTATACATCCATCTTCAATCCGCTCTCGTTTTCTGCTTCTTCTTTCCTCTCACTCGCTCTTGGTTAAGAGAACCAGCTGCTTTTCAACAGTGAAAATTATAAGTTTTCTTTACGGTGGTGTAAAAATCGGTTTATATTTTCAATCTTGAAGTACTATATAAATACTTTCGTTTTTTTCCTTTAAGTCTCAAAATGTCAATGAGGTACCCTGGAGAGTTCTCTTATCCATAACATCTTATTTTTAGAAAAAAAAGATGGTTTACCCCGCTGTTTTAAACTTTAGAGTGAACGAAAATCATTGTTGAAGGGCTAATTGTCTTTCTTCAGTCAGTGCTCCAAATTAAGTGAAGAATTTTTTTAGTCAATTATACCATTTTCATGAGAGATTTTAAAAGTTTCTTAAAAATTCTTTTTGTATAAATTTGAAAAAGTTCTAATATCAATTATAAAATTGACTGTTTTAGAAATTCTCTGCTTAATCTGGAGTACTTGTTTGAAGGAAAAAAATTAACCCTCGACAAATGATTTTCGTTTAGAAAAACATGGTAAATGACATTTTTAAAAAAAATAAAATGTTACGGTTGAGGGTACTTTCTAGGGTCCTTACATGAAACTTTATGACTTAAAGGAAGAAAATAAAAGCATTTGCCGAGTACTTCATGATGATAACTTTAACAAAATGTATTTTACACCACAGTAAAGAAAAGCTACACTTTTCACTGTTTAACACCAGCTGGACCTTTGAATTTCTCCTTTTCGCCGGTCATTTACTCGATTATCCGACTATCGATTCGTTTGATCGGCTCTATGCGCACGCCTCAATCAAGAGTGCGTGGATAAGAACTCTATTAGTTTTTGCTGACGTTCGCGAGAGCGCGGATGACAATTGGTCGATGAATTGCAGTGTGCATTTCTAAATATCGACGAAAGGACGAGGCTACAATTACACGCCGGAGAGCAGAGTAATGGCGAGCGCGTGTCGCCAAACGACGACCACGACCGCGAACAGGACGAGCCGTAGGTCCGGAACAGCTACAGTGGGTTAGCCGTGCCTTACCCAGCGGCTCGTGTGCGCGCGCAGTTAGGTTAGCGTACGCTGAATTACGTAACTGAGGTAAATGCCAGCTATTTCGAGAGCGCAGGCAACTGTGCGCTAAATAAGACGCCGCTCAACTAGAAGCGCGGCAAGGGCGACTCGTGTAAGTCGCTCGCAAGCGCGCCTTCGTTTCCACGGCAAGTTCATTGACTCGGGCGACGGCAGCTGTGATCGATCGCTCGCAATGACAAACCGAGGAATGCGCCGAAAAGCAGAGAGAGAGAGAGAGAGAGAGAGAGAGAGAGAGAGCGCGAGAGAGCGAGAGAGAGAGAGAGGCAGAGAAAGGCAAAAAACGCCCTCTTAACCCGGTGATACACGGGCGCGCGCGCACAGCACTGCACAATGTTTGCGCGCCCACGCCCACCTTCGCCCCGCGCTCGTTTTACTGCCGCGGCAGTAAAGTACGAGAATTACGATCCTTCTCTGTTCAGCGCGCTCTGCCGTGCTGCTCGGGCGCCCGCTCTTGTCATTGCTCCGGGCGCTAGACCCACTACCACTATACCAAACTCCGGCCGGAGAGCTGCACTGCTGGTGTCGTGCCGACGAATATGCGAAAAATTCCGGCTAAATAGACGCCACAGCATCTATCTCCGCGCGGAGAAAGCTTGCAGCTACAGGGCATTACCTAACCTCGTCTAACATGCATAATGCCTTACAAAGATTGTTCGCCAGATTTTACTGCGATTCGCGGAAAATGATTTTTTTTACGTTGTCACTTGATTTGCGAACGTTCATCATAGAGATCGATAAGACCACTTGAAACGCTTAATAAACTTGTTGCCTCTTGTAGATGATGAAAGAGATTATTCGATTGGGTAATTATGTTAATGAATGGACGCGGGAGTGACATAATAAACGACGGAAATATAACTATAAAGCGTGCTTCAAAGTCCCGAAAACGACCGGGGCGTAGGTAACCGTGTCGTTTAGAAAACTCCAACTCAATAAATTTGACGTCAAAATTTTCCTCGCGCGTACCGCCTCCTTATAGCTTCTTCAAGGAGATAAATATTTTCTTCACGCACACGCAGCGGCGCGGTCAATCCTTCCCCAGCGTCCCCGCTCTCTAATCGATTCGCCCAGCCAGCCGCCACTATACCCGGAAAATTGTAAAGTGGCACAAGCAGCTCTCCATCCATAACATTCTTAGATAGTACCTCAAATTATAGATTTCGAATGATTGGATTTTTCGTATTTACCCAAACTCGTAATAAAACCGTGCGCATCAATAGCCTTCCGAATCGCAATTACACAAGGAAAAAACTATTGTGCATCGCACGAATGGAAAACTAACGACAGCACAAGTTGAAGAAAAAGAAAAAAGAACTTAGCAAAGCGACTCCTCCCACGCAGCTTTCCGCCAAGGGCAACGTACATTCTCCCGAGACAATGAGGAAAAAAAGTATACCTATAGTGTATGTATATGCACGTCAGCTGGTCGAGTTTCTCGCGTGACGCCGAGCTGCAACGCGAGCCGTCATCGTTGACGGATACACGACTTGTGTCCCCACGCCAGTACAACACAGGAAGACCCGCCTCGATATCTCCTCCGCTAGTCTCAGGCTATCCACCGCCGCCTTATTACTATTGTATGCGATGTCGCGCGCAAGCTAGAGACCTCGCCGCGAATGCCACTAATATATTTTTTTTAATACAACATGTAAATTGATCGAAGAAGCGAGTGAAACGAAGATTTTTCAACGACTACTCAAATATGCACAAGTCAGCAAATGACCGTGTAGCAATATTTCGTTTGCATGTTTTATTGCGCGTTCGTAAGGAAAATAGGAAATCTGTAGTGGATAAGCGTGCAATGCAACTGCCCTCCCTACTCGTCTGTACTCGCGCGTCGAGGGTTGCTCTTATGCTCCACTGGGGGGAAGAAAAAAAATATATTCCTTACGCGTTAGTTGCGCGCGTGTTCTGCGCGATAATAATATACATTTCATTGGCATGTAC